TATCTATATATAATATATATACATATATACATATATAGCATATATGTATATATATATATAACATATTATGCATAATAGCATATAAATATATTATCATATCTATATCTCTATAATAATATATATCATATATTCAGAATACATATGTATACACATATAAATATATGCATACACATATATATATGTATATTTATATAAATATATATGTATATTTATATAAATATATGTATACTCATACAAACAAACACAACACAATTTTTATATACATATACTTATACATGCATATACATATAAATATGCATGTACAGTTGCATGCGTGTGCGTGTGGAAAAGAGCGGGCACTCACGCGTGGTCACGTTGCCCGTGGTGGGCCATGACGCCACGTTGCCCGACACCGTCTTGATGAGGACGTCGTAGGTGCGTCCGGGCTCGAGGCTGGAGTCGAAGGTGGCCTCGCGGGGCTGGTCTGCGTTGACGATGAGCGGCATCTGCTTCTTCTGGTCGAGGCTCAGCTGGTACCGGTCGAATTCCCTGCGGTGGCAAGAGCTGATTAGAACCCGACTGAAACGGCCATGAAAAAGTGCCAGGAGATTCCCAGGCGCCGCGGTTCGTCCGGATAACCACAGGCAGCGAGAGAGCAGGTGCGCTCGGCCACGCTTTCTGCCTCTCGGACGGCAGAAAGCGACCGCTATCACCGGGCGCGCTCCGAGGCCGATTTCTCGCGCCGACTCGTAAACACGAGATGCGCTCTGGGCGTGATCGCCATCGTCATGCACGTGTTTAGAAAGGGACTCCTTTTGGGCCGCCGCATCTCTAAAAGTAAAGGCGCGAATGCACGTGCATGCCTTTGAGGACATCAAGTCAGCCTTACCGAATTACAGCATATAAGAATAAGTGGTGAAACATTTGAATTAGGCAGTTGGAGAAAAGAACTCAGTGGCAGCGACTGAAAATGGTTATAAATAGTGAAAGACATATATATTATATATATATATATATATATATATATATATATATGTGTGTGTGTGTGTGTGTTGTGTGTGTGTGTGTGTGTGTGTGGTGGTGTGTGTTGTGTGGTGCGTGTGTGTGTGTGCGCGCGTGTGTGTGTGTGCGCGCGTGTGTGTGTGTGCGCGCGCGCGTGTGTGTGTGTGTGTGTGTGTGTGTGTGTGTGTGTGTGTGTGTGTGTGTGCGTGTGTGTGTGTGTGCGTGTATGTGTGTGTGTGTGTGTGTGTGTGTGTGTGTGTGTGTGTGTGTGTGGTGTGTTGTGTGTGTGTGTGTGTGTGTGTGTGTGTGTGTGTGTGTGTGCATGTGCGTGCGTGATCAGAAAGAAGATCAAGTCGAGCCCAGCCAGGGAGCGCAACAGGCAGCGAACCTTCCACATCTTATTTGGTGATGAGTGTGCAAGAGAAATATGCGGATCCTCCTGTTTGTCCAGTGACATGCGGGCGGCCAACATGATTTCCGAAGGACAGACGCCTGGGCGTGGCTGCGTGCTGAATTTCCTTTCCTAAAACTGTCGTAGCGCATGCGTCTAACGGACCACCCGGCTGAGGCGACCAGCAAAAGGGAAACTCATGCAGCAAGAGAGAAAACCACCGACTGCGCTTCACGTTTCGCAGGTTTTATCAGGAAAACGACGACAGCGAAGCATGACAGGGAAAACAATGTCGCAGTGAGTGGCTTCGGGTAAACAAAACGCGGGCGACGGACCGGGAGCGAACGAGGCCTGTCACTGTGTCATGGCAAACCGGATAATGGAACCATAAAGAAGACAAATCTCCATACTTGACGATTATGTAGATTCGTTCCATATTTGCAGATAAAGCTAAAGCCGACAACTATTGCGATGGCGGTAACGAAGCTGACAATAGCAGTCGCAGCAGCAGCTACAGGAATATTGAGTTGTTCAGTGAAGTAATAATTTTGCTCACCCAAGGCAAACCAGCGTTAAGGAAGATTCGGTGTATAAAAACTGACGGCACACTGAAAGACGTGTTGTTGCTCATGAATCATTCACAATAACCCAATTAAATCAATAAATCAGTTGTTACCATATTACGCTACTTCTTTCGCCCAAAGGACACTGTTTATTAACCCATTCCTCCCGGGTGTCACATATATGAGACACCGGGAAAAATAAACAATGTCGGGCTGACCGCCAGTGCGATGCTGTCTCGGGGCTGCTTTAAGAACTGGCGAGCCTTTCTTTTCTACTTTCTATCTGGCTATCCCCCACCCCTTTCAAGTATGCGTAGAGTAACTCGCTTGACGGACAAAGGCAGCCGAGTGCAGGTGGGGACTGTCTCCAACTGACCATTCAACTGCCCTGGTTTACTTATCGAACTGTTCTCTGTCGGCCTATCGGCCCTCGCCCATCTGTATCCATTGGTTCGTTTTCCTTCTGTCGTCTCCTTATACCTCTCCCTTTCCCTCTCTCTTTCCCCCATTAAATAAAAACCGACAACCTCTGCTTCCGCGGAAGGAGCATGACCAGCGTCGCACACTTTCATGATCGGCGGCGTCGACGCAAAACACGATCCCGTTGTTTTTATGCGAGTGGCCGGGACCCGTTCTCGGCCGCGGGAGCAGGACCGGGGCGGGCGTGCGCGCGAGGCCAGCGGGCCTTGGGGGGGCGGCAAACTGTGATTACTTTAGGAAGAAGCGGGTAAACTACCCCGATTCATATCTTTTATTTTATCTAGTCAACATGAAAAATATTGGACACTCATATTTACATATTTGCAACTCGTTACACTGTAACTCGAATCGACACAAATACACAGAATCAGCTAGATAGATATCGCAAAGCGAGATCCCCAAGGCATTCTCAGACGAGACGCCCTCGCTGGGGCAAATGATACTGCACCGTTGATTCCACCAACTAATACTCAGTAGTGGTAGCTGACGAAGCTGCACACAGGTAGTGCGAAAGGTTTAAATTTCATAAATCAGAATCAGCTGCATCACACAACAATCATGCACGCACACGGAAGCGGCCGCACACGTGCTCAGCGTCTCTGCTTTGTACAACCTCTCTCCGCCAACTCGGAAACCTGCACCGGTTCCAGATTGCAGCAAACAGCAAGAATCCGCCTCAGTTTGTCAGGCGCGAAAACCGCGTATTACTTTCACCTTCATCCTCGTCCCGGCCGCCCGCGCGCTACCTTCATCGCCTCGCACCGTCGCTGCGGCCGGAGGGAGGGGGGGGGCAGGAAGGAGGATGCATACGTCTCGGAGGAATGCAAGGTCTACTTGCCTCCTGCACCTGGAATGAGGATCTCGAAAGGCCCTGCGCGAGAGCGGCTCATCACAATGCATGCAACGTCCATTAGTCATCTCTTTTGTACAATCCCTCCTTAACCGCAACCTCCCGTCTCCCCCTCTCTCTTTCAGCATTATTTCATGTTTACATTTGATAAACCTTTCTCGCACGCATGAATGAGTGGTGAAATAAGTCGCTCACGCATTCGGTCCCTTGCACGCACGCCTTACACAATAACCATTTATACTCATTACGTTCTTACAATAGAATGTAATGATCTTTGTCTTTCGAACCATGTGTATCACTGCTCCCATTGGGCCAGCGCACGGGGCCTCCACCCCCTCCTGCCCCTAAGCAGTGGTCTGCAGTCCCATGGTCCACCGGGCCATGGGCAGGCAGGGGAGGGAGGGGGGCAGCGAGCGAGCGAGCGAAAGAGCGAGAGATCGCGCGCGCGCGCGCGCGAGAGAGAGAGAAGAGAGAGAGAGAAGAGAGAGAGAAGAGAGAGAGAGAGAAGCAGAGAGAGAGAGAGAGAGAGAGAGAGAAGAGAAGAGAGAGAGAGAGAGCGAGAGAGAGAGAGACAGAGAGAGAGAGAGAGAGAGACAGAGAAGAGAGAGAGAGAGAGAGAGAAGAGAGAGAGAGAGAGAGAGAGAGAGAGAGAGAGAAGAGAGAGCGAGAGAGAGAGAGAGAGAGAAGAGCGAGAGAGAGAGGAGCGAGAGAGAGAGAAGCGAGAGCGAGA